AATGTTGGTCGATTTTCTTATCGATCGGTCTCATTACCCGTCTTTCTATCGGTCTCACTACCGATCTCACTATCCATCTTCCTGTAGATCGCCCGAGCGATTTCACGATCGACCTCACTATCGATCTCATTGAATCCACTTCAATAACTATCGATCTCACGATCGACCTTACAGTCGTCCTCACCATCGATTCCTTTATCGATCTCAGAATCGATTTCAATATCCATATTCCCCAATCGGTGCTTGCACTGAAAGGGTCCTAGCGGAGAATGAAAGATTTGGCGGCAGTTCTGGCCCGAATTCGGTGGGCCGCTGGTTCCCCTGGTTCCCTGTTCCAGGTTCTTGGGTTCCCGGTTGCTGGTTCCAGGCCGATTTTGGTGGGTGGCGGGGTTCTTGGGTTTCATTTTCCCGGGTTCTGAGTCGATTTTCTTATCGATCGGTCTCACTATCGATTTCTTTTCCCACCTCCCTATCGATCTCACAATCGATTTCACAATCGATGTCGTTATCGATGTCACAGTCGCTGTCATATAGATCGCACGAGCGACCTCACGATCGATCTTACTATCGATCTCACTGAAACGAGTTCACAATCGGTCTTACGATCGACCTTACTATCGTTGGCACTATCGATCCCACTATCGATCTCACTGTCGATCTCACAATGGACCTCAATATCCATAACACATAATTGTAAAGGCCATCCACTGATTGGGGTTGTCTTCTGGTGTAATCTATGTTTTTGGATGAATCCTCCAGACCCTCCTGGGGCCCGAGGCTGGGGAGGTTTTTGGAGGAAGCCTTCGACATGCTTTCCTGAGGAAGGTTTTTGGAATGCTTTTGTGGAGGAAGCCTTCAAAACGCCTTCTTGAGGAAGGCTTTTGGAACGTCTTGTAGAAGCATTCCAAACATGTTCCCCGGACAGGTTGTTGGGCCGTTTTCTGAGAGAAATCTCCCCAACAAAACTTCCCGATAAAGGTTTTCGGACGGTTTTTGGAAGAAACCTTCCAAGAGCCTTCCCGACGAAGGTTTTTGTTCGGAAGGTTTGTTGGTGAGAACCTTCCAAAACCACCCCGAGGAATGTTTTCTGGAGGGTTGTTGGACGAAACCCGCCAACAACCTTCCCAAGGAAGGTTTTGGGATTCATTGAGGAAGCTCTCAAAACGCCTTCCTGAGGAAGTTTCCAGAAGGGTTTTGGAATAATCCTTCCAAAACCATGTTCAGGAAGGTTTGTGCAGGGTTTCTCTCATTTACAAAGCATCTTGCTTTATGTTTTATGTGTTTTCTCGTTGCCATGTTTAGTGGACTGTTTGTTGTCAGGTTTTTGGGGCTTTCTTTCGGTGTTCTTCCGAATTATTTTGTGGTGTTGGGTCCTCGTTTTGAAGAGGCAGCGCCCCGCGTCCCACCTTCCTCCTCCTCCCCCTCCTCACCCTCCTCCCTCCTCCCCCTCCTTGCCTCTGCTCTCGGCACACCTTTCACACGTTTCGTAGCCCCATAGGGAGCTCCACCGAAGGCCCCAGTGGTTGCTCTCGCATGCGGTTCCCCCACCCAGGGCAGCGTTTCGTGGCCCCAAAGGGAGCTCCACAGAAGGCCCCAGTGGCTGCTCTCGCATGCGGTTCCCCCACCCAGGGCAGCGTTTCGTGGCCCCAAAGGGAGTTCCACCGAAGGCCCCAGCGGCTGCTCTCGCATGCGGTTCCCCCACCCAGGGCAGCGTTTCGTGGCCCCAAAACGGGCTCCACCGAAGGCCCCAGTGGCTGCTCTCGCATGCGGTTCCCCCGCCCAGGGCAGCGTTTCGTGGCCCTAAAGTGAGCTTCGCCGAAGGCCCCAGCGGCTGCTCTCGCATGCGGTTCCCCCATCCAGGGCAGCGTTTCGTGGCCCCAAAGGGAGTTCCACCGAAGGCCCCAGTGGCTGCTCTCGCATGCGGTTCCCCCACCCAGGGCAGCGTTTCGTTGCCCCACATGGAGCTCCACCGAAGGCCCCAGTGGCTGCTCTCGCATGTGGCCCCCCAGCCCAGGGCAGCGTTTCGTGGCCCCTATCGTGAGCTCCACCGAAGGCCCCAGAGGCTGCTCTCGCATGCGGTTCCCCAGCCCAGGGCAGCGTTTCGTGGCCCCTATCGTGAGCTCCACCGAAGGCCCCAGTGGCTGCTCTCACATGCGGTTCCCCCACCCAGGGCAGCGCTTCGTGCCCCTATAGGGAGCTCCACCGAAGACCCCAGTGGATGCTCTCGCATGCGGTTCCCCCACCCAGGGCAGCGTTTCGTGGCCCCAAATGGAGCTCCACCGAAGGCCCCAGTGGATGCTCTCGCATGCGGTTCCCCCGCCCAGGGCAGCGCTTCGTGGCCCCAGAGGGAGCTCCACCGAAGGCCCCAGTGGCTGCTCTCGCATGTGGTTCCCCCACCCAGGGCAGCGTTTCGTGGCCCCAAAGGGAGCTCCACCGAAGGCCCCAGTGGCTGCTCTCGCATGTGCCCCCCCCGCCCAGGGCAGCGTTTCGTGGCCCCATAGGGAGCTCCAACAGAAGCCCCAAAGCCCCATTGGCTGCTCTCGCAAATGTGCCCCCCCCCCGCCAGGGCAGCGTTTCGTGGCCGCCAATAAGGAGCTCCACCGCATGCCCCAGTGGCTGCTCTCCGGCAATGCGGTTTCCCATCTGCCCAGGGCAAGCGTTTCGTTGGCCCCATAGGGATTCCACCGAAGGCCCAGTGGCGCAGTCGCATGCGGTTCCCCCATCCCAGGGCGCGCTTCGGTGGCCCTCAGTGAGCTAAACCGAAGGCCCCAGTGGCTGCTCTCCATGCGGTTCCCCCCTTCCCCAACCCAGGGGCAGTTTGGCACTTTGGCCCTATCGTGAAGCTCACAACCGAAAGGCCCCCGTGGCTGCTCTCGCAAGCGGTTTCCCCCACCCATGGCAGCGGTTTCGCCCCAGTTTAGTTCCAACACCGAAGGCCCCAGTGGCGCAGTTCGCATGCGGTTCCCGTATCCAAAGCAGCGTTTCGTGGCCCCATAGGGAGTTCCACCGAAGGCCCCAGTGGCGCAGTTCGCATGCGGTTCCCCCACCCAGGGCAGCGCTTCGTGGCCCCATGGGGAGCTCCACCGAAGGCCCGAGTGGCGCAGTTCGCATGCGGTTCCCCCACTCAGGGCAGCGTTTCGTGGCCCCAAAGGGAGTTCCACCGAAGGCCCCCGTGGCGCAGTTCGCATGCGGTTCCCCCACCCAGGGCAGCGTTTCGTGGCCCCATAGGGGGCTCCACCGAAGGCCCGAGTGGCGCAGTTCGCATGCGGTTCCCCCACCCAGGGCAGCGTTTCGTGGCCCCATAGGGAGCTCCACCGAAGGCCCGCCCCAGTGGCGCAGTTCGCATGCGGTTCCCCAACCCAAGGCAGCGTTTCGTGGCCCCATAGGGAGCCCCACCGAAAGCGGCGCCCACAACGCGTTACGAACAATTGCTTATGGTTGGGTCCTTCGCCAGGATAATTTGGAAGGCTGTCCAACATTTTTGCTTGAACGTTGTGCTGGCAGGTTTCTGGATGGCGTTCTGCATGTATGTGGCGGGTTCGCTAAAATTTTGGAAAGGTGTTTGGAAGGTGGTTGGGAACTATTTTGGAAGTTTCTTGGAAGGTTTCGGGGCACCTCACAGTCAACATTCCTCACCCCCCTAACCTGGGAGAACTTGTCAAACACCTTCCCAAAACACCTTCCCGAGGAATTCAGGAGGGCATCCGCGAATTGCCGCACTGGTTTCGTTGTGGTTGTAGGCGTGATTGCAGTTGTGATTGCAATCGCGATTATCCTTGTGATTGGAAGCGCGATTGTGGTCGTGAGCGTAGTCGTGGTTGCAGTCGCAATCGCAGTCGTAATTGTAGTCGTGGTCGTCGTCGTTGTTGCGCCGCGGGTGTTACGGAGACAAACGTGTTTTCCGCATTTGGTGGGGCCCTGGTCCGTCAATGGGGGCGTCGAAATGATACTTCGTTTCCACTGTCGTGGGTTTTCAAAGATCCATCTCGGTTGGTGGGATCGATGATGAGATCGCTAGAGTGGGATGGAACGAGATCGTGACAGTGAGATCTACAGTGAGATGTATCATGAAATCGGTTGTGCTCACGCTGTCGGATACGCAGGGAGGCGGCGTCCCCTGGGTCGCGCAGGTCTCGCGGGGACAGGCGCCCTGGGGCGAGCACAATGGGATTGATCGCTGAACCCACTGGTACTAATACTCGCCGCGAGGTCGCTAGGGGGATTGATCGAGTGAGATCGACAGCGGGGGCGATAGTGTCAGTACATCGCAGCGCAGCATCGTCATCACGCGTCGTCGCTACCTCAATGGCGCGTCACAAGCATCGTCATCATTATGCCCATCGCATTTGCCAGCTGTTGGTTCTTTCCCCCCCACCCCCAACCTCTTTATCATCCGAAGGGTGGTCGTACAGGTAGTTACCTTTCAGAGCGAACGTAGCCCGATCTCTCTCGCTTGTTCTTGTGCCATTTGAGACGTGTGCCCTGAGCTGCTCGATGCCCGTCCTTTTCGTCCTCGATCCTGTGTTGGTGGGGGATTTCCCCAAGTTATGATGTTCGAGGCACCAGGGCCTTCGGCGGGCTGTCTCTGCCTGGGCCCCGTTGGGCCTGTGTGCCGCCATGACCGCCCACGTTCCTTCCCCCTTGAACGAGGAGGGAAGGAGAAGGGAGGGAGGGGGGTCGGATGATGCTGATGATGATGATGATGATGCTGATGATGATGATGAGGTTGATCATTATGATGATGATGAGGATGCTGCTGCTGATGATGACGATGATGATGCTGATGACGATGCTGCTGATGATGAGGTTGATGATGCTGTCGACGATATTATGATGATGCTGCTGATCATGATGGTGGTGATCAGAATCATGCTGATGCTGCTGCTGCTGCTGATAATGATGATGATGATGATGATGATGCTGCTGCTGATGCTGCTGCTGATGATGATGGTGCGGATGCTGATGATGATGATGACGATCTGGGAGCTGGCCCGGTTTGCCGGGAAACGGATGTTCGTCTGGGGCTCTTTGGGGTCGTCCGGGACGCCGAGAGTGGCCCACAAGTGCTCGAATACGGTCCGTAGTTCTTCGGCCCAAGCTGTGGTCATCGTAGTACACTCAATATCCTTAAATTCTCACGAGTTTGATTCTTTACGCTCGCGCCAAGCACCTCAGCCGAAGCAAGCATTCCGGCACTCACAATGGTGCTCGCGAGGGCGATCGCATGTTTGATATTTGCATTGAGCGGCAGTAACTTGGCCTCCGCCGTATCCTTGATTTCGAAAGCAGAGCCCCGCACGGGTCTCGATGTGGCTCCTGATCCCGAAGGTAAGATGGATACCGATCCTGAGTGCAATGACATCGAAAGTGGGGGGCCCGACTGGGGCGATGAGAGCTTGCATGTCGAAGATTTGGCACGTATTGTTTCTGAGTGCCGTCAAATGCAAGATAATATGTCATGGCGGTCAGTCAGTTCTTCTGTGCAGTTTGTGCATGTTGGTAAGTGTGCAGGCAGTTCAATCAGTATGGCCCTCCATAAGCAAACCCCTTTCCACGAGATCCACATTCGGCAGGTCGACAATTGCCGCCCAGACGAGCAACGCACGTGGATTGTTTCTGTCCGGGACCCGCTTTCCCGTGTTGTATCGGCCTTCAATTGGAGAAGCCCCCTAAACGGAGATGCGCCACACGGGCAGTCGGGATTCGCCCAAGATAAGCAAGAGCAGCAGTTCTATCGTTGCTTCCGAGAAGTCAACGAGTTTGCCGAATCGTTGCAGGATCAGAGCGAATGCGGTAGCATTGCCCGCCGAGCGCTTGAGAAGCCCATCTATTCTGAGCACGTCGGTAAAGGCTTCTACTATTATTTCGAACACGATCTCGAGTGCGTACTCGCACAAGAGGTGTATTTGATTCGCTCGGAGACGATCGCTCACGATCTCAATGAGGTGTTTGGGCGTCTGGGGTTGGAGGCGCCTGCCGAAATTCCGCATGACAAGGGTGAATACCCCCTCCAGCACAAGACGTACCTCAGTGCCAAGGGGAAGCAGCTCCTGCAGAACGCGTTGAAGAACGACTATGAGGTCGTGCGTGCTTTAGAACACGCTGCCAAGAATGGCAGGCGTTAGGCGTTAGGGTCTGCGGCGGACTAGACAGAAATCGCACCTTTTGTTTCGTGCGCTAGAATGCGTTTCTGTCTCTCCCATCCCTCGCTTTCTGTTAATCCTCTCTCTCTTCTGTTCTTGGTCCTCCTCTTTTTTTGATTCACATCCCCCTCTTTTTGTTTCTCTTCCCCTGCTTCTCGGCCTAAGACGCCCCCAAGAGGCCCACGAGAGGCTCCCAAGAACCCCAGGCCCACGAGAGGCCAACTGATGCTCTCAAGCACCTCAGGACAACCACTGGTTGCCAAGATCTCGCCTAATCGCTTCCCAGGGGCCTCTGAGGCTTCATGATGGTCCACAAGCGGTCGTCGATGAGCCCAATGGATGCCCAAGACAGTCGACTAGAACCCACAAGACCCTTCAAGATGGCTCCGAGACGGCCCAATATGGCTCGTAGACTTAAGTCGGGTGTGTCCCTCTACAGGAGAAAAAATCAAGCATGGTAAAACGATAGTCTGGGACGATTTCTGGAGTATTTTTAAATCTTTGTTCCAACCATCCTGCGGTGTTGGGTTTATCGTTTTGAAGAGGCGGTCCCCGCGTTCCCTCCCTCCCTCCCTCCTTCCTTCCTCCTCCCTCCTCATCCTCTCCCTTCCTCCTCCCTGCGTTTCACCCACTCATATGGAGCTCCACCGAAGGCCCCAGTGCCACCGCCCGCATGCTCCACGCACGCCCGTTTCGGCACACCCCTCACACGTTTCGTGGCCCCACCGAAGGCCCCCGAGGTGTCCTGGGCGCTCCCCCGGCCGCATCTCGCGGCCAAGGGGGGAGTGTCAGGGGCTGGCGCTTGAGGTTGAAGCGGTGCCTCCTCCATCCTTTCCTCGTCCTCCTCGTCCTCCTTTTCCTCCTGTTTTGGCCTCCGGAGGCCGCGGGACCTTCGAACATCGATCCCGAGGGGGCGCTCGCGGTTGAAGCCGTGGTGTCCTGGGCGCCACGCTTCCGAGGCTTGCGCAGGGACTCCGATGAGGTCGTTAGATGCACAAGGCACTTCGAAAATTGATGTTCCATGCGTTAGCCTGTCGAGCCTAGCTAGAACTTGAGCGCGCGCGAAGCGCGCGCGATGGTTCTAGTGTATATATATGTAGGTATATGTATATGTATATAACATATATATATATATATATGTATGTATGTATGTATGTATATATGTATGTATGTATGCATGCATGATGTATGTATGTATGTAGTATGTAAATGTATGCAATGCATGCATCATGCATGCATGTATGTATGCATCATTCTGTATTTTATGTATTAATGCATGCATGCATGCATGCATGCATTTAAGTATTTATGTATGTAGGTATGTATGCATGTATGCATGCATGCATGCATGCCGTATGTATGTATTAAGTTTGTATGTATGTATCAATGTATACGTGCGCATACAATGTATATGAAATGATATAGAATATTATATGTAATGTAATAATATAATATAAAAATATATATATAATATAAATATACATACGCCGCGCACGAGGCCCGGGCGCCCAGGGCCCGGGTGGGGGGGGGGGGGCCCGGGCCCCGAGCGCGCATGGGAGGACCCGGGTCTCCGAGGCCGCTCCCGGCGCACCCCGGAGGGGCCGTGGAGCCCCCCGACTGCCCCAGGGAGCTCGGCAACACCCAAACATACTTATACAACATGTGCGTCGCCCCCCCAGGGGCGACGCGCGCACCGAGAAATCTTATAGTATATGCGTCGTGGCGGGCGCTTCCTGGCCACACCGCTCGGGAAACGATATACTACAAGATGGGTATACTATATGTTCGGGTCGGACGCGCGCCTCCAAGGAGGACATATAGTATTAGTATGTCCATATGCGTCCCAGCTCCAGGACGCTCCCAGAAGCCCCCGGGGGACTTCGACCAGCCCCTCCAGGACAGCCCAGATAGCCCCAGCGCGGCCCAAGATGGGCTCCGGGTCGCAAATGCACGGCCCACGAGCTCCGAGAGGCGTGCCGAGAGAGCCCGGAGAGGTCAAATCTTTGATTTCCATTGGTTGTCTCGCTGTTTTTCGGTGGCTCGCGCTTTCGACCTTCCAACGCTCCACGACGGCCGAGGACGCCCCCAAGACCGCCCCAAGACCGCCGAAGAGGCCCCCAACAGAGCCCCAAGACGGCCTCAGGGAGTCCGAAAATTGCCCAGGAGGAGCCTCAGACTGCCTAAGAGAGCCCCAGGACAGAAGCTGGGCCACAGAGCGGGCGCGGGAGGCCCCGAGGCGATCCAAGACGGCCCGGCTGGCCCCAATGTGGCCCCAGATGGGCCCAACACGGCCAAAACACAGCCCAAGAGGCCTCCAAGAGGCCCCAGGAGAGCTCCGAGAGGCGTCCCGAGGGAGCCAGAAGAGGCTCACATCCTTGATATCCGGTAGTTTTTTGTATGTTTTTTGCTTTCTCGCGTTCTCGAGCTTCCAACGCTCCAAGACGGCCGAACACGCCCCGAAGATCGCCCCAAGACCGCCGAACAGGCCCCAAGCAGGCCCCAAGACGGCCCAGGAGAGCCTGAAAGATTGCCCAAGAGCAGCCCAAGGCTGCCCAAGAGAATCCCAGGAGAGGCACAAGATGGGCCCAGAACATGGCAAGGCACAGCACGACAGAGCTAACCGTGTCAGTGCATAGCACAGTATGGTTCAGCATGCCATAGCATTGCATTCCATAGCAGTGTCTAGCTGAGCCTAGCACTGCACGGCATGACGTAACATTGCCCCGCATGGCATCGCATCTCATGACACATCGTTGCGTATTATGGCATTACAAAGCGCATACACTAATCGAACAACACCATACTACCCTTCGCAATAGTAAACAGACATCCTGCAAATATCACCCCCCCGTTCTTGTTCTTACTGTCGTCCTGTTTATTTTAGCCTAGCAGCTCATAACATGGCATAGCATTGCATTGCATCGCATTGCATAGCCCAGCATGCCGTGCCTGTGCATACCATGTAACGCAGTAGCAGCGCTCTTCATAGGAAACACAGCAGGATAAGGCTCAGCGTATCATCCCATACATTATCATATAATGTCACAGCACAGCATGACATGACATGCACTGCGCACTGTTGAGTATCTCATTTTATTGCATTCCATACCGCATCGTGGTATTGCGCTTATAGTTTGAGCTGGACAGAGTCTTGTTTTGATGGGTGAGTCCGCTCCTGCTGGCCAGTGTCCTCTTCCTCGTCCACAGCGTTCCAGCAGCCGCTTCCCATGCCGCCTCCCAGAAATGCTTAAGATCTTCAGGGAGGGGGACGTGGAGGGAGGAGGATCCAGGGAGTCCTTTTCGAGGCTCGAAGCTTCGAACCAGTTTGGCGTTCTTGTTTGAAAGTTTGAACGCTGCGAGCCGCAAACTTGCTGTGGCGCAGCTGCGCTGTTGCAGGCCCATTTCCTGGACTCGCTGGTTTATTGTTTGACTCCCAGGTTTCTTCTCTGCTCCCTCCTCGTCCTCTTCATCTTCTTCATTCTATCAATGCCATACCCGCCAGCATGAAACGCGCATTTACGTTGCGAAGTGGGTCAGGACATCGGGGGCAAAGCGTGATCAGTTATCTCCCGAGTTGCTTAGAGAAATATGAGGCACCAATACGGCCATGTATTCATCATCGCCATTTGCTGTAACGAGTTGGCGTGTAGCTTTGCTGCATGAGCTGTGAGGGCAGAGCGGCATGTACCCGAAAATAGCAGGGGGCATCGTTCCTGCTCGCACTGCAGCCGTTGCTTGCTGCACATTGTGTTTTCATGCTGCGAGGCGCGTAGCTTTGCACAAATGTGAGGCGACAGTGGGATACGCCCGCACATAGCAGGGGGGCCCATTGCCGTTCGCACCGAAGTCTTTGCCTGCTGCATGTTGTTCGAACTCAAAACAAGATCCTACTTCATACATCCCACGACGTCGCCAACGTTGCCTAAGAGGGCCTCAGGGCAGCCCGAGAGGGCCCCAGGGTGCCTCCAAGATGGTCCCAGGGGGTCCCACGAGGATATCCAGGCGACCAACATCAGCCAAACGATGCGGCAGTCTTGGTTGTAGTCGTCGTGTCATTCCTTTCCGCTCGGGATGAATCCAAGATGGCTGCGCAGGACTCAGAGGTGCCCAAGAGGAACCTAAGATGGTCCCAAAAGAGCCCGACGATGGACCAGGATGGCCCAAAGACGCCCCCCAAAAGAGCTCAAGGGAGCTTTCGCCGGGGAGGCCCCAAGACGCCCCAAGAGGGTCCCAAGACTGCCCCGGGCTTCTGGAGGACTCTTCCGCGACTCCTACTGAGCTCGTTGTGAAGTCTTTGAAGTCGCAAAACGTGTGCAAACGCTGTATTCTTCGCTGCGTTATGCGAACAGTTTTTATGCCCCAGCGCCTTACTATGCTTCGAGTGACAAGAACTTTAGCTGCTGACGCCAATCGGACCAGCCTGCCACCCGCGGGGCCACGGAATATTTGAGGCGAGGGGTGTCCATAAATGGGCGGAGGGACGCTATGCGACACCTTGCCAGTGAGGCATTCCTCGGAGCGAAGACATGTGGCCACCAGGAATACAACGCGCTCGAGGAACTCTGCGAGGCTTCCGGCGGTGATCAGGTTCACGGCTCACCGTCTGCATCCAGTTGGTTCGCATTTCGGGTTTCGGTGCCAATTTGGCCGCGATGATTTTGCGATCGATGCAGATGGAATGGCCGCGCGCACAAGAAAAGGAGTGGTGGAAATTGCCATGGAGACGCTCTGGATGGCGCGAGCATTGGGAGGCCGAAAAAGTAAGTTGTCAAATTCGATGGGGGAGGGGGGAGGGGGGAGGGGGGAGGGGCAAGCTAGGTGCGCTCGCGTCAACATCTGACATCCTACCCCTCCCTCCCATCCCTTCCCATTGAGCTACTTCATTGTCCTCTCACCGAATCGGGCTTCGCATCTGACCCTGTTACCTAAGAGGGAAAGGAGGAGGACGACGGCGCGATGAAAACGAAGACGACGACGACGACGAAGACGACGACGACGACGACGACGACAACCACGACGACGACGACGACGGCGGCGACGACGACGACGACGACGATGAGGACGACCGGCGACGAAGACGACGACGACGACGACGCGACCGCGCCGGAGCGGCACCCGCG